TGCCATGGGAATTGCGAACTGAAGTTCGCATTTGCGAACACTGAACAAAAATGAGGACTTCGCATTTGCGACAAAGATGTCGCATTTGCGATGTACCAAGCTTCGCATTTGCGATGTACCAAGCTTCGCATTTGCGAGCCAAAACGTCGCATTTGCGACAGGCTCAACTTTGCATTTGCGGACCTAATGGTCGCATTTGCGACCCAGTTGTAGGATTCCCCTCCTTCGCATTTGCGATGACAGGCTCGCATTTGCGAGACCTGCTTCGCAAATGCGAAAATTGCAGAATTGATGATACCAGATTTTCTCAAAGGTTAAAAATGCATTTGTGGCCTATCCAAAACTCACCCGAGCCCTCGGGGCTCCAAACCAAATATCCACACAACCTCAAAAATATCCTACGGACTTATCCGTGTGATCGAATCGCCAAAATAACATCATATACATCGAATTAAGCCTCAAAATCCATGATTTCTTCCAAATTTCATAAAACATCAATCTTTCCATTTTAAGTCAGAAATACGTCAAACGACGTCCGTTTTCAACCAAACTTTACAGACAGTGCTTAAATCATATATAAGACCTGTACCGGGCGCCGGAACCAAAATACGGGCCCGATACCAACACGTTCTAATCAAATTACATTTCCAATTTCCTTAAATATTTTCAGAAAATAATTTTACTCAAAAATTTATTTCTCGGGCTTGGGACCTCGGAATTCGATTCCGGGCATACGCCCAAGTCCTATATTTTTCTACGGATACTCCGAGACTGTCAAATCACGGGTCCGGGTCCGTCTATCCAAAATGTTGACCGAAGTCAAATTTATTCATTTTAACACCAAAATTTAGCATATTTCACAGAATTTCATATTTAAGCTTTCCGGCTACGCGTCCGGACTGCGCACGCAAAATGAGGCGACTATAAATGAGGTTTTCAAGGCCTCGGAAGCACAGAATGGGTAAGAAAATAGATGATGATCCTTTGGGTCGTCACAATTATACCCCCCTATAATCTCATATGGAGTATAAATACTAGTGGTGTGTTCTCCACAAATTCTTGCTACAAGCTAATTGATGAGCAAACATCTCCAAACCTCAATTTCAATTGGATCAGGGACCGCAAATGCCCTAACAAAATTAAATTTTTTATATGGAAATGCTACCATAAACGACTTCCTACTAGAGCTTACCTAAGCAAAATTGGTGTTAATATAGATCCCAACTGCCCAATATGCAAAGGCACCAATGAGTCACTAATCTATGTCTTCTGGGAATGTAGCATTACTCAAACATTTTGGCAATCAATCGGAGTGACTACCAACCCCCAAATACATACAACACACTGGGTTGACAACCTCAGAAATGCAAATCCCACTATGATCAATAAATACATCACATGGGATGATTTATTTCCGTTCACCCTATGGGCAATCTGGAACAAACAATCAAAACAATACCTCTAACCATATCAATATTAAAAGAGTTATTGACCGAGCTGTTGAATACAATCTATTAACGTCTAGGGCAACAACTAATAACATAAAAATGAGCATTAAAGTTAAGTGGCAGGCTCCTCCAAAAGGTTTGTATAAGATCAACATTGATGGTGCATTAATTTCGGAGCAACTGTCTACAATGGGGAATCAGCGGAGCCATACGTAACAACAAAGGCCAATGGAGAATGGGCTATTTCAAAAAAAATCCATGCAACAACGCCAATCAAGCGGAATTACAAGCATTACGGCATGCACTTCAACAAATTATCACGGAAAAAATCTTACCAGTTGAAGTAGAGACGGATGTCACGGAGGTCATACGATTTCTTCACGATGATTATCCAAATTACAATGATTTGATCTATGAATGCAGGTGGTTAATGGAGAAGGCACTGCTACTAGGGGAGATCACAGTGAAGCATAGCTTTCGCGAAGGGAACATGGTGGCATATCTTTTGGCAAAAGCAGCTCTAATGCAAACTAGCTATAATAAGTTATGTACCTTTGTTTTACCACCAAAATTTGTAATAGATGCCTATCACAAAGATCAGGATGGTTTTGTCTATGTAAAAAAATGTTCAACTTCTATCTGTTGTAATCAACTTCTATCTGTTGTAATATGGCTGCATTAGGTAATGACAATGCCTTAGAAGGCATAACTATAGCCCATCGAGGCATGTGTAGTGACGATAGTTCACTGGGTCCCGTACCCTAGTTATTATTAGTAAATAATTACCTTTTATTCTAAAAAGAAACAAGGTACTATGATCAATATTTTCACTTTTTCCACATTTGACGGCATCATACATATTACTGCATGTGCAGTATGTACTTGCATAGTCCACCATAAAGAAATGAGTATAACAGTTAACAGGCATACTTTCGAATTAAAAATAAGTAAATTAAATTTCTTAAAAACATGTTTTTAACAAAACGACTTGGAGTATAAAATTAGGGAGATTACTGAAGTAGGTTCTGTTGTCTATATTTTCTTCCTTAATTTGCACGTCAGAAAGATGTTCCAAGACGGAATGTATGCGCTTCCTCCCGAATGGAGCCTTACGCGATGCGAATCCGGATATAGTCGGCTTCAATGCGAGTACCGGACACCGGGTGGGAAACCCAAAAAAAAAAAAAGAACTTTGCAATTACGGAATAAAATACTCCACCCACTTGATTAACGATATTTAGAGTATACAAAAATACATCCCTAATTAACAATGTCAAAGTATATGAGAAATACATTATTCGTACTGCCCAGAAAAGTCTTTCTCTACGCTTGAAAACAATGTAAACCAACTTTACTTTAGATTAAATCCAATATATGAATAGAAGTGGTGTCTAACTACCCTAATTTCTCTTAGTTGTACAAACAAGACGAAAATATAAGCAACTCCAAATTGACAACGAACGAATATTTAGTACGGCCTTCGCATGACCACGGGTATAACATATACTAAAAATTATATCATTAAAGATTGCAGACAGGTAGTAAATATTTATTTATTTTTAATAGAGATCTCGAGTTTGAACTATGTAGATGAAATTGTTTTTGGTAAATAGCAATTTATTTTTCAAAGTAGAATTTCCCATTAAGAAGTCTTGAGTTTGAGATATATGAACAAAACTATCTTTGCTAAATAGGGATTTATCTTTAAAAAAAATTTCTATTACGAATTCAAAGCGTTATTATAATACGAGATATTTACTTATCTATGCTAATTTTGAAACTTATTAACCTTTATTGCTATAGAGATTTTTATTTAATTATAAGTTCATATACATATTATTAATTTTATACAAAATAATGTGTTAGACTCTAATCTTCTATACTTTCTTTCTCTCTTTCACCCCATACATAAAATTGTAAATTAACAAAAAAGTGTTTGACCTTTTTCTCCTCAACTTTAGCCATATCTTTACAAGAACAAAGAAATATGTCATCAATTAATTATATTATGTTCTCTCTTCTTCTTCTTCTTCTTCTTCTTCTTCTTCTTCTTCTTCTTCTTCTTCTTCTTCTTCTTCTTCTTCTTCTTCTTCTTCTTCTTCTTCTTCTTCTTCTTTCTGTTTTAAATAATGAATGTATTATCACTTTTGAACGGGGAAGATCGCTAATTTCTTTTAGCTTTTTCAAATCAATAAATAAAATAGTATTAATCAGAAGCGAGTGGATTGAATTGGAACTATGTTAATCAATTAGAAAGCTTAGAAGCTTTGAATTCAATATCAAAATTTGCAAAATTATTTTTTATTTGGATTGGGTGTTGTTCCAAATGATTGGGAATATCCTTTGGAGTTTATATTAGGGCTATTCGAAATCGAACTGTAGCTATTAACCGAATCGAAAAAAGGCTTATTGGCATCGGATTATCGGGGTAACAGTTGGTGAATAGATTGAGATTTTATAATTAACGGCTTAACGGTTTGGGGGGGGGGGGAGAGGGAGGGGGGGATTACTCAATTTCCTTATCGGATAAACCATTAACCCGTTAAATTTCTTTAGATTTATACTATTCCCTGTGTATATAAAGTAATTTTTGAAACCCTAAGGTACTCTAGTGAACTTCAACGTATTCTTTCTTGAACTCCCAACTATTGTTTCCCCTTTCTTTTCCGGTCAAAACATGTTATGTTTATAGTATATTGAAAAGCATGTACTCAAAAATGATGTATGTTAAGAAGTTACATGCATCTCTTCTTTCGTCTTCTGTTGTTGGTATATATATTCCTTGATTGTACGGTTGTCCTGAAGAGTAAGAGATAAAAGACACTTCCTTTTAGTGCTTTTCAATATAGGAGTAGTAATTAAATCTGACCACTTACGAAAAAGAATTCTTAGCTATGCAACCAAAAGAACCAGGGTTGAAATTTTTTCTATTTGATTTAGTCGCTAAACTGCCAGATAATTGCTCGATAATTGTTAATCCGATACCAATCCATCTGTTGTCTTATTGGATGGCTAGAGGATTACTACATTTATAACTCGATAACCGATAAGCTGAACCGTTAAGTGTAATAATCCGCCCTATAAGCACCTCTACTTTATATCTCAATTTTGAGATAATTCGGTGAAGATTCGAGGTGATTTTCGTTGAAATTTCAGATTGAAGTGTAGAAACGGTATATTAAATATCTACAACTTGCATAACTGTATATAAATTGTATACAAATAGCATGTAAATTATAGTTTTTGACCGAATTCTGTATATAAATATGTATTTAAGTTGTAGATAAATTATAAATTTTGATTGAATTTATATATATCTTGTAAAACCTTTTGTTACTTTTTCTAAATATGAAAACTTAGATAAAATCGGATAAATAAGTCCCTATTAGTAATATTTTCGAGTCATTAGTCCTAAAATATTGAGGTGGAATACTACTAAACCAGGAGTGCAAGCGTAGCCCATATTTTATGGATATTGACACAGTATATAATAATAGGAGCATAACGTAAATAACACAGGTTTCTAAGTACGAACTGTGGGCCCACGCGTTTTCAAGTGGCCCCACTCTATCGCAAAACAACCCCGCCCCCAAAACCATAAGCACCTCTCCTCCGCGCCGGAGGCCAATATTTTGATCCTTTGCTTCCGTTTCACCGCATCCTTTCTTCTATTCACGCCGTTATTAATCTTTTTCACCTCAATCCCAGAAAGAAACAGCATATAAAACAGTAGCAGAATCGCTGTGTATCCATACATCTGCCACGCCCTGCTAAAATTTTGGCATACAGATAAACCCCCAAGTAGGATCACAGGTTTTTTTTGGAGTCTACTCATTCATTTCTCTTTGTCACTAGTATTTATCTTTATATGCCATACCATACTTATCAGTTATCCCCACATAAACTCTCTCTCTACACATATATATAGAGGGTCTCCTGAACTAGGTCTAAAAAGAATAGAGTATTCTTATTTTTCATCGGCTAACGCATGTTGGTCTTTTTGTCTCCTCAACCACCAATACAAATACCAGTACTCCATGGTTATCATCTTCCCGTCCGGTGCTGCCGCCACGTAGCTTCAGATTTTAGAGTTTTATTAAGCGTGGAATTGCTGCTTTCTTTCCCTTTTATAGACTTCGATAATGTCGATGAAGCGGCAACCACAAGAGGATCCCAAGCCTCGACACGATGGCGGCGGTTCTTCCGATGATAAGCGCCGCCGCAGAGTTCCTTCTCTGAGAAGGTTAATAATATTATCAATCGATTTTCTGGGTTTCATTTTATTACTTTTCATTTTCCCCCCTCAGTGAGATTTTTGTCCTTATTGGGGGAGAATATTGTTCGTAGAGATGTGAGTCATGGCGAAGAAAAAGTGGGTGCTGGGTTGCTTTTCTCTTTTTGTGTTGAGTACGTCAATGGTGTTGTTTAGTAAACTAGGTAGACTTTGCTCATAATTCTAATGGTCAATAAATGCTTTTTTCTTCCTTTATGCTACTCTTCTATATATATGCATTAAGTAAAGGTTACCGAATAGGAATAAGTGTCATAATGAGAAAGCTATTCTACTCCTGCTGCAATTTCTTTATTACTGATTGTACTTTTATTATTTCATGTGTAGTGTTATTATGGAAGTAGTGAATATGCGTAGAGTGCAACATTTTATGGAGCCAGTTTTGGAACCACTGATTCGTCGAGTGGTAAGACTATATATGTTCATTTCCCTTAAGAAGTTAGTCTACTGTGATATTTAAGAATTGTCACCTATTTCAAGTTTGCAAGTGTGCCTGTGTCCGACGATATCGTTTTTTGTGTTTGAGTTTTGAAACGAACAATGAAAGTATACTTTTTTTAAAGTTTGGGAATCTGATGACTCAGTCATTTACTTTCGTAGAATGGCATATTTTTTTTATTCTTTTTTAAAATTGGTAGCATGTGCTTTCCACTTTTCTTAGTCTTGCGTATCATAAATATTTTGTGATGAAAAATGCGTAGTTCATTAGCAGGAATTCAGCAGATAGTTTCTACTATGACAATCCCTGGTTGTCGTACCTAGCTTTTATCCTTGTTCTAATTTCTTGACTATTAATTGCCAAAGCTCATCGACTTTAGGCTGTTATGTGGTGCATATGTCTAATTCTATTTAAAAAAAACTAAAGTTGAAAAATCAGAAATCAAGCAGGGACATTTAGTTGGGATGAAGCGACAACTATTAATTAATGCTTTATTTTATGATCAATTTTGTCTCTTTGTGGTTTTTCTTTAACTGTCTTGATTAGGTTCATCGGGAGATAAATACATTTTAACTTGAGCTTACAGGTAAAAGAGGAAGTTGAGTTGGCTCTCAGGAAGTACATGACCACCATTAAACGGTATGCAGTTGGACTCCATCATTCAAACGCTACATGCGCTTCATGCTTTTCTATTATGACTTAGTCTTGCAATTTTTTTTTCCGTATTTGCACCTCTTTAGGAATTGTGGGAAAGATGTATACGCTTGTGAACTTAGAAGCCTGAAGCTGAAGTTTTTAGATGTCATTTCGCCCCCAGTATTTACTGGAACTCGCATAGAAGGAGAGGAATCTAGTTTGAAAGTAGCCCTGGTTGATGCTCATACTGGACAAGTTGTCTCAAGTGGTCCTGAATCCTGTGCAAAAGTCGAAATAGTAGTACTCGAGGGAGATTTTGATGGGGATGATGGGGACAATTGGACTGCAGAAGAATTCAAGAATAACATTGTGAGAGAAAGGGAAGGAAAGAAACCTCTCCTTGCTGGGGATGCATTTTTGTATCTCAAGGAGGGCATTGGTTGGGTGAGTGATATTTCATTTACTGATAACTCAAGCTGGACAAGAAGCCGTAAATTCAGGCTAGGGGCGAGGCTTGCTGATAGCTTTGAAGGAATCAGTGTGCAAGAGGCAAAGACGGAATCCTTCATTGTCAGGGATCACCGCGGCGAGTGTGAGTTCCTGATATCTATTTTCTTTCTACAATGCTGTTAGATGTATTAAGTGACAGATTTTTCTTTTCAAAAGTTGTGAACTCTAACACTAAATTCCATTATAGAAGAGTGCTTGACTTGAAAGGTGTTAGATAGTGTCCTTTTCACATCAGCAATCTGCTTTCTATTGAAGGCTTCCTAGGGTGTATCAAGTTTGACTTTAATCTCTATTGCGGATAATCTCTGTAGTACTGTCTTTAGATTTTATCAATTAAGATTATAATTATCATTATTAATTCAAAGCAAACAATCAAGTCTACTGGTGTGGGACAGATTGCTCATTGATATTTTAAAATCTTGTGTTGTGTACTGAGCAATATGCTGGACTTCTGATTTTAAGTGACAGACAATAGGAATTGGGGATATGATATTGGCACAAAACATGCTTGAAAGTCTGATTAGAAGCAAAAAAAAAAAAAATTGTTTTGCAATAGTCTGATTAGAAGCAAAAATGTGCAGTGTAATAGGTGAAACATCCCATCATCGTTTAAAACTTAAATTGTTTTGAGTTCTTGAAGGGAAGAGTGTGTTAGAGAATATTTGTAGAAAGAGTGTTTAACATCTTGGGATGCTTCAAAGAGAAAATGGGTCAATATAAATTGGGACGGGGGAGTAGATATCGTGTTACGTTTCTGACTTAATACAAAGAACCATACTTCCAGTGCGGATAATGCAGAGATATTAACACACAGGAATAAAGCACTACGTTTATATGAGTGAAAAAGAAGTAAAATAGTAGTAAGTTCTTTTAGGAAACTATTCAATTTACAAGGTAGCTTATACAAGGTAAGGTAATGGAAATGTTGTTTTGCTATCTGTCTGGGATATGTTATATATTTTTATGCTTCATCTTGGGATTTTATACCTTAAATGAAAAATTTTATGTTACCATCAATGTCTCATTCTTGCCATAGTTTGACATCAACCATCTTTTTTTGGCCTATTTAAATTATCTAATGCATTTGGTCTAAATCCTTGTTCAGTTAACTACACTTCCCACTGTTGTTTATCATTCAGTGAGACAAATGATACCGAGCTGGCTAGTGAATGCTCAAGTATTAGATTTTGTTTCTTTTCCCTCATGTAACTCACCTAGAGTTTGTGGTTTTAAAGAAAAAGCTAAGGCGAATACAGAAGCCTTGAGGCAGGAGGTGATCTCATGTGACATTTTAAATTTGTCTTAAACTTAAACAACACCCATCGGAGAGTAGGAAAGTTGACATTTCTATACCGGTTAATGATAGAGAAAGCGGCTACTGTAGTATAAGGATATAAAGTTGCTATTGAAAGAACCAAGGAGTAGGCAGATAAAAGTTCTCTACTAAAGCATTAGGCAGAGCGAAAAAGGGAAATATGACAGAAGAAGACACTGAAAGGGTTGACCCCTCTTCCATCTCAAACGGAGAACAAAATCTCTAACTCATCTTTTGTATGATTTAAACACCATATTGGAATTCTTTTAGGTAGGTGGATTTTTGAAACTGTTAATCAAACTGTATAATGAATCTGCAACATATTTAGAAACGAAAACCAAATTAAAACTCATTTATACTGAACTTAATGCATTTGTCGGTTTCTTGAGGATTAACATGGTAATGAGCTGTGCATAACTTGCGCCTCAGAGCAAATTAGAGTCGATACTTGGAAAACACAATGAATGAGATTGTGGTGGAAAGGCTTCAAATAATTCTCAAGTCAAATATGCAACATGGCACTATCTAACTTCCTGCTTTATTTGCAGTGTACAAGAAGCACCATCCTCCTTCTCTTTCAGATGAAGTATGGAGACTGGAAAAGATTGGCAAGGAAGGAGCTTTCCATCGACGTTTGAGCAAGGAAAGAGTCAACACAGTGAAAGATTTTCTGACTCTCCTCTATCTAGATCCTACAAGGCTTCGGAATGTGAGTTCTACTGCAACTGTCTTACATAGATAAATGGATTTAGTATACATGTTGCTTAAATGATACATCTATTTTTTTCCTTGTTGAATAGTGTAACAAGCATGACTGTGATAATGATGGACATATTTCCTAATGTTTGTGATTCTTTGGCAACCTCTGTTTTTCTTGGTTATGCTTGTTATTATTTTTCCTACCTTTGTTTCCCTTAGTGTGTTTTCTAGTTAATTGCTTTACTTAGTGGATTAGCATCTTCTTTGAGCATCCTCTGTAATCCTTTAGGAGTTCGACAACAGAATTTTGCCTGGTTACACTCTGCTGACATTGCAATTTAGAAATTTGATAAATCTAGGTAAAATACTGACGTGCTCTTGCGGTTTCAACAAGATTGACTAATCTTTTAAATCCTTTTCCTGGGAAATCTTGCAGGTTCTTGGGACAGGTATGTCCACCAAAATGTGGGAAGTCACGGTAGAACATGCTCAAACATGCTTACTTGACAAGAAAGTGTACTTGTACTACTCATCTGGATCTGTACAAAAAACTGGTGTGGTTTTTAACATCGTTGGACAAGTGATGGGGCTTCTTCCAGAGTGTCAGTTTGTTTCTGCTGATAAGTTGTCCGAAACTCAAAAGGCATGTACCTTTAATAAATAAGAATATTTGGTTTATTGCTCTTTTTGTTTCTTCACGTACCAAGGCTTGATTCTTGATATGTTTATAGTTGGCATCGCTCCTAATAGGCATTGACTCCCATTCGTTTTACTTTTCAGGATGATGCTCGTAATTTGGTGATTTGTGCGTTCAGACACTGGGAAGAAGTAGTCTCTTTTGAGGATGAGTCTTCTCTTATGGATTGGGTTATGCAAATTTCCGCTGTTCAATTCTCCTCAAACTCATCCATGATGGGCAGTTCAGATGCCAATGACAATGTTTTAACTTCCCAGAAGATTAGCAGAACCGACTATCAGCATTTAAGTGCATCAACACTTGATATCATGCCATCCTTCTGTTCAATTGCTGGTTTCAGCAGCTTGGATGATTATGTCTTGCATGGTATAGACAACATGGATGTTAGGTTTGACCAACCGTTAAATTTCCCGGTCAAGACGCCGACTCCTTGATGGCTGATACTGATTCTATAACTCCACCATTTTGTGAGGGTGATCATCTGCCTTTCTTCGACACTGACTATTCCCTTCCCAGTCCAAACTTTGCACCATCACCTGATCTACAGTGTGCTGTCAACAGCTTTCTTGCTCGTAGTTCAATTCTTCCCCCAGATAAAGCTCAACGAAGATGGAAGATGCTATTTAGTGTTCTAAGGTGGTTTTCAGTAAGGAGGATTGTAAACAGAAGAACCATCATATCTTGAACAGAAGTTCTCACTATGCTGAGGCAAAAGAATCTGTAGTAAATTGCTGCCCGGTGCAAAATTGTGTGCAGTAGTAGAGTCACTTAAATTTCTTGTGGACATATGTGAAATTGGGCAGTTAGCGCCAATCACTTAAACTTTTGAGTCTTGTGAATGGGTACACAGTCCTTGGCGCCAATCTGATGAAAAGTTATGTATATATTAGATCGATGTGTAGTGACAGCAGCTACCTTTGCTGCATTATTTATTTTGTGCAAGGGCATATTTCCATTTTTTTTTTTTTTTTTGCGTTAAATTTTGAATGGTCAGCATTATAACAGTGAATTACTAACGACGGAGTAAATGAAAAAAGTATCGCGAAAAACTGGACGTTCCCTTGCTGACGAGCCTACATCTAAACCAGAATATTGCATGACTGACTGATCTTATCCAGCATCTTGATCTTGCCATCCTGAAGGCAAATAACTTTTTCTTGCACACAGATCTCTGGCGCTCTCTGTTTTTTCTTTTGAGTTATTATCAATTCGATAGTGTTATAAAAGAGTTCCTGGACTCTCTGTTCAGCCAAAAAAGGTACACAAGTGACATTAAAGAATAATTTCAATACCCAGAAAGAAAAAATAATAATTGCACTATTGCAGTATGATACATCTTGTTTACTACATAACATTCAGTTGGGCAAAAAATTTCTAACAAATATCAGACGTTAACTTTTTCCATGCCTATCTAGTAGAATTGGTGCCACCAATCATCTGGAACAATGTCTTCTATTCCATTCATTAGTGTTAGTTCCAAGAGGTTACTGTTATCTGCGTTAAGATCTGAGAAGTCACTGTTATATGTGTTAAGATCAGCTTCAGCACAATATTGCTCATGAATTCCAGGGAAGGATAATTGACCATATGCTTCTTCTTGTCGGCTCGCTGCTGTATTTGCTTCTTCTGTCATCACGTACACTCTGTTGGTGTTGGCCCCATGATTCTCCAATGTAGCTTCACCTCTGTCATAAGTGGTCAAAATTTGGCTATTTTTGTTAAGTCCTCTCAAATAGTTATCCTGTTGTTCAGCATACTCTGCCTTCATAGTCTGATCAGGTTCACGCAACATAGCTTCTATTACTTGAGCAACTTCTTGTTCCTCCATATTAACCCCATTCTTCCTATTTCTCTCTGTTATGTTCTTCTTTATTCGGCAGAGAACAATATCTTGTTTAGGAATATTGTTTTCCCAGAAGTAATCATCCCCCACGTAATATTCTCTCATCAACCAATTGATTTTATCTTGCTTTGATCCTTTACTACTCCTAGTTCGATAAACATAACTTTTTCTGAATCCCACAACAGTTCCCTTACTATTCTTGATAGGATCACCGCCGGTTTGGGCTTTCCATGTCCCGTTGGCGCAAGTTCGGCGAAACCTTTTATGTGATTCCTTCCGCTTCTTCAAAGGAGAAATAAAGTAGGCAATTTTCTCTTCAGGATGATCAGAAATCTCCCATGGTGGCCTGTCTCCATAGATTTCCCCAAGTCGAATAGGGCATTCACTGGGCAAAGACTCGCCCTTCAAAAACTTTTTCAGAAAGTAGATCAACTCTGCATCAGTAGGGTAAAATCGATCACTGGGAAGCCGTGATACCATCGACATGACAGTCTTTGATTTGCTATTATGAATAAAGAAATTAAAACAAGAAAGAGATAAGAATCGCAAGAAAAAACAACCCTTCAATGATCTGCAAGTTCTTTTAACGAGTCAGAGATTGACTCTGCTGTGAAAATACAGAGAGAACTAAGAATTGGAGAGAGTGCTATATATGAAAGAAATTTTTAACTCGCAGTGAAAACAGAGAGAGAAGGCAGAATGAATTACTATTATTATTAAGTGGAAGAAGAACCTGGAACGGTCGGTTACTTTATAAAGGACTTAGGTTTCTAAAATAAATCCGAAGGACTAATTTTTTAGGAAACGATGGAGTTTTAGGAAAATAATTGTTGTTGTTGGTCAAAGCTGCATATTAGGAAAAAATAGACGTGTTGCTTTTGGCGGGAAGGACTCAAGTTATTAACATTTTTTTCTTCATATCGGGAATTCTTTACTTTAACTTGTTCTATTGGAAATTTATAATTGATTTTTACGGGAAAACAATGAACATCTTTTTTTGTTTTTCTTTCATTTGCAGGTTAATTTTCTTGTTTAACATTTTTTACCAGAAGAAAAGGAAAATTAATTTTCTTTCCTACTTTTATTTGAAGCTATTTACGAAAACATTGAAATTAACAGTTTATTAACCGAGGAGGAAAGGAAATATAGGTTGCGACAACAATAAATGCCAAAGGTGCAAATCAGAATTTAACAATATGAAGTTTTATACTTGAAGAAACACCCTTTGGCCTTTTCTAGGAAGTAACTTCACCCAGCAGTAAAAGAGAGAGTTCTCCTGGGTAGAATTATAGCCTCATTCTCTCTTGTTTGTTTATCTCCTTCATTCTTCATCTCTCCCCTTTTCTGAGAGAAACTAATATTGTAATAGAAGTCATTGCAAGCCCGCATAGAGAAGGAACAAAAAATGTTGATGTTTTAATAGTATATATGCATATGTTTAATATTTGTATGTTATGTTCCATTCACCAATCAACATTGTTATTTCACATCAAATAATATTCAGACTGTCTGACTATGGTTATTCACAGGATAACATAGATTTACATGAAACTATGGGGTGTCACAAAAGGAGCCCTTATGATTAAAAGCAAGCAATTAATTTACATTTGTGAACTAGTTAACCACTATGTAGTAGCGAATAGATTGCTAGTAACGGTTTCTTTTGGATAACAAGAAACAGCCTGTGAACAAGTAAGCAGCCTACAGACTAACTCTAACTTCGATCCAAAAGCAAGAACTGATTCATCAGTGACTATGACGTTCATCTTTGATCATCAGAAAAATCAGGCTCGTCGGGCTTAAAGAGTTTAGGCATACGTAAGCTGGATTCACCAGGGTCCACCCGTGCCATCTTGCCTCTTCTGGTGTTAGCAGCAAATCTTGATGCCAATATTGTAGCTCCAAGATGCTGAATACTGCTTTCTGTTGCATGATCCGAAGCATTGCCACCGTCATAACCAGCTGCTGGATATTTGTGACCATAATCATCCCTCGTGTGTAGTACAAGCTCTCTTCTCTTGACAATTCCTCTGCTAGTTTTTTCCTCCGATAGCGTCTCCATGCAGCTTGTATGTAGCTAGCTCCCCATGTCCTCCATTGGTGTGAGTAGAACCGGAATGCATGCTGTAATTTCTTACTATGGAGGCGTCTGAACTGGTTTGCAACAAACTTGAGCTTTTCAGCTTAAGTGCAAATGCTTCAACTTCTCTAAGGCATTTCACTATTCGAGTTGAAATTGGAAGCTTAACATTCGGATTAGGCACTAAGGCCCATGTTAGCAATTCTTCTCCACAAAAATCACCCTGCTTTAGCGTAATGGAGTTGAAGAAGCCTGACCTTCCTCCATTAGTTGTTGAACTCTCAAGTTCACCTCTAATTATGAAAAGCATCTCAATCACCGGATCTCCTTCTGGAACAATATACGTGTCTTTCGTGTTCAATGATGAAACAAGGCATTTGCATATTGCATCTAACAGCTGATCATCCATCTAGGAGAAGAAAGGGACCTGTAAAATCCAGCAAGCATGAGGTTACTAAATAGGAGAACCATAAGAAAATCTTGGAAGTTTAAAACAGATGGTTGGTCATTTTTTTTTCTTTCTTAGATGAGGTCAAGACAGATGGGTGATACAACTGAAATCACTCAATCAGTAGAAAAGAAGATTTTTGCTATTCATTTCACAAAAGTGGAGTCTTAAAACTAGCTATGCAGATTTCGTTAGCCATGTGCTACTCTATTGTTTGGTGCAAAAATGTGCGCAATAAGGAGAGCAAAGCTGCATATCCATAAACTGCTTCGTAGAGCAATGGCCAACTCAAGAGTAGAAGCTCTACACAGAAAGTTAAACTACAAAGTAATTTTAGCCAACAGAAAAGGATAGAAAAAACTGCACGGCTCCAAATGATCGCAATGTTCCCCTTTGAGAAAGTAGAAAACAATAATGAGACGGAAAAACTTACACGACGAACAAGAGCCAGGCAGAGGTGCCTCTGAATCTGGCGCCTTAGATCCAAGGGTAAGGAACGCAATATTTCTTCTTCCTCTACACCTCTTATAGCTACCCATTTATACTGCACAAACGGACGAACACGATCTTGCAGATCTTCAGGCAGTTGACGGTGCCTCATCCACTCCTCTGGTGTCCCTTCTTTTAATTCTCCATTGTTCAAGTCTTGCTGTCATGGATTGCAGATAGCTCTTGACAAAATACAATAGTAGAAGCAGTGTCATTTACAAATTCAACAAAATTTTCATTCCCTCTTAAGTAGTTCCCGCTTTGCACCATCCCCACCCCAGAGCCCCCAAAAGAAAAAGACGTATTTGATGGACATAACCTGGATCCTTATTTGATGAACAAGTACACAAGTCACTAGCAATGAATTTGTCAAACTGGCAATTTTAAAGTCAACAGCCATAGTTGCAACCATAACTCAAATAAGTAATTACTGTAATGCTGTACATTGGTCATCAACAAGAAAACTTCAGCTTTGTTATGTTGTTCAAAAGATAATACTGAACAACTATTCGTACTTAAACTATGTCACTGTCTACCATTTCAGAATCCTGCCACCTAGTAGTTAAAGAAACTAACCACTTCCTGTACCACATGGTCCATGGAAAACAAGAGTTGGGAGGGCCGTCAAAAGTGAAAAATAAGAGCAGACTCAAACAAAAAGTGGTCTCACTTTGAGATATCTGGAGATTAGGATAACATCAGCAAGTTGGACACATTCATTTGCACAGATTAAACTTGGCTGTTAATTTTTCATACTTTAAGGTATGTGTATTCACAAACTTACTCAAAGAAAAGGAGTTCCCTAACTCAAAAGAGAAGTAGCTTTCTGTGTCCATGAACTAGTCGTACAGTCCCATGGTTTAAATTCCCATTCAGATCAATCAACTTCACACCCCCACGCTGGAGGGGAGAGAGAGAGAGAGAGAGAGAGCACGCACGCGTAAAGGGCTATCAGAGTAAAATACCAAGATGCTAATGTATGGTACATTGTTAGGATATATTCAAGCAAATACTCACTAATTGATCAAGATCAGTCCACAAGAACCAAGGGACTTAATCAACGGGCTGATACTGCTTTTGTTTTGTTTTATTTTGAACAAGGACTGGTAATCTTTTTTAACACTATTTCTATGAAATTTACTGCAGAGTTATGTTACATGCAATGCTAACCTACATAAGTCTCCATGTCCCATTAGCTATTTCGCTTACTTTATCAAGTTCATCACTTATTGACAACTCAATTGAAAACCAAGACTATTTAGTTTTCAGGTGTTTCATAGTGTATCTATCAAAAATCTAGGCTTCTTATATGATGTAAGATCTCTTCGTCTGACATCTCTCTGTCCTTGTCAGGTAGCATCTTTTACTAAATCCATATTTCTCCAGGGGTGGATGCATTCGTTGATTTTTAAGTATGATTTCATGAAATAAGAAACTCAACATTGTCTATTTCAAGTTGTCCACTTTAAAGCCCAACTCCCAAGCTTAAATTCATCAACGTACATCAGAGACTAAGCAATAGGGTAAAAGAATAAGAAGAAACGTGAATAAGAAAACACATCCTAATTTAGTCTTTCACATGAGAAAATACCTGCATGTTGCCTATCAGCAGTGCAAAGATGACCAAACCCAGAAGACAAATAAGACTGGAAAAGAGCGTCTCAACAATTTATGAGAAAAGGAGGACGACTCAAAGGTGTCTTATTCATTTCAGTGGTCTTGCTTTTCCCATAAAATATGCACCAATGATATACTAAAGAGTTTATGGATTCTCTGTTCAGGCAAAAAAACGTACACAACAAGTCACATTAAAGAATAATTTCAATACCTAGAAAGAAAAAATAACAGTATGATGCATCTTGTTTACATGACATTCAGTTGGGCAAAAAATTTCTGACAAACATAAGACGTTAACTTTTTCCATGTCTATCTATCTAGTAGAACTGGTGCCACCAATCATCTGGAATAATGTTGTCTACTCCATTCAATAGTGCTTCCAAGAAGTCGCTGTTATCAATGTTAAGATCAGTTTCAGCACATTGCTCGTGTATTCCTGGAAAGGATAACTGACCATATGCTTCTTCTTGTCCGCTCGCTGCTGTTTTTGCTGCTTCTGTCATCCTGGACATTCTGTTGGTGATGGCCTCATGATCTTTGTCATAAGTGGTCAAAATTTGGCTATTTCTGTTGTAGTCAGGTTCACGCAACATAGCTTCTATTACTTGAGCAACTTCTTGTTCCTCCATATTAACCCCATTCTTCCTATTTCTCTCTGTTATATTCTTCTTAATTCGGCAGAGAACAAAATCTTATTTAGGAATATTGTTTATCATCCCCCACGTAATATTCTCTCATCAGCCAATTAATCTTATTTTGCTTTGATTCTTTACTACTCCTAGTTCCATAAACATAACTTTTTCTGAATCCAACCACAGTGCCCTTACCATTCTTGATAGGATCACCGCCGGTTTGGGCTTTCCATGTCCCGTTGGCGCAAGTTCGGCGAAATCTTTTATGTGATTCCTTTTCCAGAATTATTTTACAAATACAGTCTACTAACAATTCCTTCCTCTTCTTCAAAGGAGAAATAAAGTAGCCTATTTTCTCTTCAGGATGATCAGAAATCTCCCATGGTGGCCGGTCTCCATAGATTTCCCCAAGTCGAATAGGGCATTCACTGGGCAAAGACTCACCCTTCAAGAACTTTCTCAGAAAGTAGATCAACTCTGCATCAGTTGGGTAAAATCGAACACTGGGAAGCCGTGATACCATCGACATGGTGGTCTTTGATTTGCTATTATGAATAAAGAAATTAAAACAAGAAGGAGACAAGAATCGCAAGAAACCAACAACACTTCAATGATCGATGATCTGCAACTATTCTCTCAATGAGTCAGAGATTGACTCTGCTGTGAAATTACAGAGAACAAAGAATTGGAGTATTGCAAAGAAAATTTTGAATTGCACTCGGAGGACTAATTTTTTTAGGAAAGAAGGGAGTTTTAGGAAAATAAGGAAAGTATTAGTATTTGTGGGTACAAAACTGTGTATTAGGGAAGAACAGCGCGTGTTGCTTTTGGCGGGAAACTTTTTTCTTACTTTTCATTTTGGTTACACTTGGGATTCAAGTTATTTACCTTCCTTTTCTCAAATTGGAATTTATTTACTTTAACTTTGTTCTACTCCTGTCAAATAGAACTAAATTTTAAAAAAGAAATAGCGAAGAAATTTGCAAGTTACTTTTCTAGTGGAACATTATTTTAACAGAAGAAAAGGAAAATTAATTTGCTTTCCCTTTTTCCTCGTTTGGACTTATTTCTTTAACTAACATTTTCTTTCCAACAGAAAATGTAGACATTTAAATTTTAGTTAAGTTATTATAAAATAAGTTAGACTATATTATAAATTTTAGATACATTATTCCTAACAAATAAGATACGCTAATATAATTAAATTAATCATTTAAGCCGAACACATATCAATTTAATAAAGGTCTAGTTTCATTGGACTGGTGCATATAATTAGGGAGAAATTCAAAAATAGTCAGATTTACAAGTGTTCGTTCAAAAATAGCTACAGTTTCAAAAGTAATTGAAATTTAGCCATTTTTCATGTAAAGATAAATCTGAACGAAAACACTGTTCAAAATCCGGAAAAATACTCCAACATAATATATTGGAGTTCCAGTATAATATACTGAGTTCCAGTATAATATACCGATCCAGCATAATATACTGGAGTTTGGAGCACCGGTGCTCCAGTCTCCAGTATATTCTACTGGAACCAGCAAAGTATACCGGTCCAGCATAATATGCTGGAAGTTCATACACAGGTGCATCGAACTCCAGTATATTATGCTGAACCAGTCTCTGTTGCAGCAAAATAGTGGCTATTTTTCATTGACTTGGTAAACGCTGGCTATTTTTGAATGACCAGCCCGAAAATTGGCTAGACCGTGCTATTTTAACATACTAGTATTATCACCCGCGTGAATGCGCGCACACTAACTATGTAATATATTTGAGTTATTTGGACTATATGTAAATAATCTTAAAACTTAAACTTTCTCTATTTTTTTTTTAAACTTTCTCTATTAAATATAGATAATCATTGGATATTAATTAAGAAACACTACATGAAAAAGATTAACCGCTTCTCAAATTTCCTAGATATAATTCTATTTTTCTTTTTTGATACCATTCTCGCCGGTGTCATTGGATCCTAAAATTAATCGGGAAGCAAAATAATAACTAATATTTATGACAAAACAATCAAACGTTGAGACTATGAAGGACTCTTTTGACATGACTTGACTCTTTTACTACTACTTGAACTCTTATTTTGTGTGTTGATATCTTTCAAAAATTATTTCTATTTTAAAATTTCAATTTCTAAAACATTATTTTTAATNGTAATTGGATCATGCACCAACTGGACGTGTCAAACGCTTTTCTACATGGAGAATTAACAGAGACTGTATATATGCGTCAGCCTAAAAGGTTTGAGAACACCGATTACCCACATCATGTTTGTAAACTTCGGCGCGCTTTATATGGTCTTAAACAGTCACCAAGAGCTTGGTTTCATCGCCTTACCTCTTTCTTGGCAGATCTTGGATTAAAGCAATGACAGTCAGATAACAGTATGTTTGTTCTCTATTTGGGGTCCGAGTCGCTTGTTCTTCTTATATATGTGGATGACATAGCCATTTTTGGTTCCTCTCAACAGTTAATTGATTCTTTCATCTCAGCCATGCAACATGAATTTTCTATGAAAGACCTTGGTCCTTTAAGTTATTTTCGCGGCGTCAAGCTAGTTAAAAATTCCTCTGGTCTGTTCTTATCCCACCATCGCTATGTCAATGATATTCTTCATCGATTTGGATTGGATAAATCCAAACCAGTTCTAACTCCTCTGCAAAGCAAGCTTGATTAGCACTCTTCTACTTCGGCTCTCCTAAGTGATCCATCAATTTATCGTCAAATGGTAGGATCTCTCCAGTATTTATCATTTACTCGGCCTGGTATTCAATTTGCTGTTAATCTTGCTTCTCAGTTTCTTCATAATCCTAGGGAGGTTCATATGCAAGCTGTCAAAAGAATATTTCGGTATATTGGAGGTACTGCTGATTGGGGGTTGCAACTTACCAGAAATACCTCTCTCTCTCTTAAAGTGTATTCCGATTCCGATTGGGCTGGTTGCTTTGCGACACGTAGATCAACTACTAGTTTTTGTATTTTTCTTGGCGATAATCTTATTTCTTGGTCAGCTAAGAAGCAACCTACAGTGGCTCGCTCTAGCACCGAGGCAGAATATCGAGCTCTTGCCGTTGCAGTTGCTGAAGTTACTTGGCTTCAGTATCTCTTACGTGATCTTAATGTTCCTCTTTGCTCACCAGTAATGGATAAATGTGATAACGTTGGAGCTATTCATCTTGCGCACAACCCGATTTTTCACTCTCGATCTAAGCATGTAGCACCGGATTATCATTTTGTTCGTGAAAAGGTCAACCTAGGAGACTTGCTTGTTTCTCATGTTTCCACTTCTCATCAACTTGCTGACTTGTTTACCAAAGTTCTGCCATCTGCTAGGTTCCACGAGCTCCTAACCAAGCTTTGTGTTCGTTCCTCCCCTTCAGCTTGAGGGAGGGTGTTAGGATGTGATAATGTTGTAAAGTTGTAGGACTCTAGATATGCATAACAACCTAGTATAGTTGTACACGTTTTGTATATATTTGTTGTTATCTCCATTGTAACTTGCTAATATAAATACAAAGTCAGGCAGCAGCCAACGCTCAGCTTTGGCATTGTCAAACTCTTCTCTACTATTAGTCTTTGTCTCTCAAAACTTCTCTTTCATCACACTGCATGAAAAAGATTAACCATTTCTCAAATTTCCTAGATATAATTCTATTTTTTTTATATCATTCTCGTTGGTGTCATTGGATCCTAAATTAGTCGGGAAGCAAAATAATAACTAATATTTATGACAAAATAATCAAAGGTTGAGACTATGAAGGACTCTTTGGATACGACTTGACTCTTTTACTACTACTTGAACTCTTATTTTGTGTGTTGATATCTTTCAAAAATTATTTTTATTTTAAAATTTCAGTTTCTAATAATGTAAGTGAAATTATTATCCTTAATTCAAAACTCATTTTAGTCGGCTATCTAAAAATTTAAAATTTTGTTTAGCCAATAATTTTTTTTTCCAGTATGACTCCATTATGATATTTGACATTAACCATATTAAATATCCGAGTTATTTGAATGATATGTAAATAACCTTAATATTTAAACCTTCTAGATAATCGTTAGATGTCAATTACGAAACGGTACATGAAAAAAGACTAACATTTTTCAAATCTCGTAGTGATAATTTTATTTTTGCACCATTCTCATTGGTGTCATTGGAACCTAATAATAGCCAAAAAGTGAAATAATAACTCGTATTTATGTCAAAGCACAAAGGTTGACACAATATGAAGGATTCTTTGGTTACGACATGACTCTTTTACTACTTGAACTCTTATTTGGTATGTTGTTATCTTTTAAAAGATATTTCTATTTTGACATTCCAAATTTCTAAAACTTCATATATATATNAGTTTAAATAGAAATTGTCTACATAAGAAGTTTATTTATATTTTTAGTCTTTAGTTGAAATTCTTCCATATTTTTCTTTTGGCTTTATCTAATCAACCTAAATAAGTGCTCGCCATACCACTTGAATTAAAAATTGAAGATGCGTAATTTATATATAATCCATATATAATATGTGTATAATCGTGTGTTGCCAGTATATCATCTATGGATATTAGCTATAAAAAGTAAACAATAAATCTGACCAGATATTTATGTAAATATTTCATAAGATTTCGGTTTCTTGATTTTATCCATGATATGACTTCTATTATAATAATTTAAAAACTCTTCTAAAATTCAAAAATATCTTATCCTTTTATTTTTAAAATTATATTATATTTTAAAAATAATCCCATTTTGAAATAATTTGTTTACATTTTAAGAAAAATATCTCATGTCATACCAGTTTTTTTTATTATTAAAATATACTTTTTGTTACACTTGAAAATTGCTATAGAAACTATCAATTAGAAAC